TTCTTGGCGATTCTTACATAATTTGCATCTTTCAACCTATCGTAAACATTTGGTAAATGTCTTTCTTTTTGATTGAGACTGATTTGAGCTTCATTGTTTGAATTTACGTTGATTGGTGCTTCTTTGATTGATCTGTGATAGTTCTGATTATATCCATTCACTATATCTTGTAAAGCGTCGATATAATTTGTCGTTGAATTGAAGTGCATATATCTATAGATTCTTTCACGAAGAGTACGATTGAAACGCTCAACTATCGCACATTTCACAGCATCATCTGTTGTTGTAAAGAAGTTTATGTTATTTTCTTTCATGAGACTTTTAAATGTTGAATTAACAAACTCTTTTCCTTGGTCAGTTTGTAATTTTTCTGGCTTATCATTCTCTAGAATTAATTTCATTGCATTTGTTACTGATTGAGCTGATTTATCTTTCAAAGGTAATGCCCAAGCAAATCTGCTGAATATATCAATAACAACAAGTAGGTATTTAACATTATTATTGTATTTAGAAAACCAAGATACATCCATCAAATCAGCTTGCCATTGTTCATCAACTCTTTGAGTTAATGTTTTCAATCTAGGGAATTTTCTTATTGTTTTTTTGAAAAGTGTATATGATTCTTGAGTATTTAACCATTTTACAACTTGATTTAATGTTAAATCTGGATATTTTTCCTTCAGCACTCGATATAATTGATTAACTCCACCAAAACTACCAGCATTGTTAGGATTAGTATAAGTTGAATTTAGAACTTTTTTATCGAATTCCATCCTTTTCCTGATTGTAATGCTTTTTTTCTACTGTTATATAGAATTTCAGATGCTTCACCCAAGTCCAAAGTTCGGTTTATGTCGGCGATATCCTCTAAAACAGCTAAACCCTTAGGGTTAGTTATCACATCTTCTTCGCCGATTCTCTGTAATTCACGTGTAACTGTTTTGTATCCTGATGGACCTGGTCTATCAATAGGTGTTGATGTTGTTAAATAATCTAAGACTCTATTAACATTTGAACCAGGTATTGGTTTTTTATTTGAATTGATTACTCTTCCTCTCGGAGTTATTTTATGTAAAAGTTTTCAATTATTGGATGAGGTTTTGTAGGTAAAGGTGTAAGTGGAAAAGGTTTATCCCAGGAATATTCAGCTGACTCAAATTCGTCATAAGTTTCTTGGGAAGGTTGATTGATTTGTGTAGTTGGTTGAATATTTGTTTGTCCGCTGTCCAAATGTCGGTTTATTTGATTTTCAATCATCTGAGGAGGGTATGGTTTATCCAGAATGTATGATATTTTATCTCTCGTTGCTGATTGAAGTTTCAAGTACTCATCCTCTGGAATTAGAACCATTTTGTGTAAGTTCATATTTTATTAGCAATTAAAGAACCTAAGAGACTGATTGCTGGAATTAAGAGGGCAGGTAACGCACCACCAACTTGATTTACTACTTTCCTTCGTTCAGGTAGACTTACTTTTGTTGTTGCTAATTTTCTTAGCGCTGTTTTATATTTTATCAATTTTTCTTTTCAGTTGTTGATATTGGGATATTCCGTTCAAAATGTTTTAATAATTTCACTGATTGCGTAAATAATACAACTTTGACAATTTAATATTATTTTTCTTTGTTTAACTCGATCTTTAATTTCAATAAGTTTAATGAGTTCTGTAAACATTTGATTACACCTTCGATTGTCATGATACATTATTTTAATTTGAATAATAAATCATTATGTTTCTTTATATTAATGATCCGTCCCCAATAATTAAATTTTGAATCCGAGTTTGTCAATATTATCCATAACGAAAGTTCCATTGTTAAACCACCACCTATAAATTGGCTGTGGGGTTAACTCGTGATTAAATTCACTAAATAGATGAACAAGATTAATCATGTATTCACCTGCACAAATAAAATCAATAATTTCTTTATTCATTATCAATTTTGATCATCAATTTCCAAATGAATTTTTTTATCAGCATCAATCACTATAACCACTGATTTTCCACTGGGTGTTGTGAATAATGAAAGTGGTCCATTCTTTTTGAATTGAATACAGTAATCTCGTAAAGCAAGAAAATCAATTGGAGATAAATTTAATCTACCACTTGGTCGTGGGACTTTTGTAGATAAGAATAACTCAATCTTCATAAACCATCGATCCAAATTAATTGTTGTTGAAGCATTAACTGATATGGTGAATTCATCATTCAACATTGTTGAAAATTTCTCAACAAAGATATCAACTGTCTCGAGATTATCTGGTGCAGAAGCTTGATCAGTCCAAACAATAATATTTTCTTGATGAACACCAGCAAAAGGATGATTACATTTTCGTAAAGCTTTAGTAAAATTCTCTTCGAACTCTTTACTTTTGATAATGGAAATTAAATCAGGTGAGAAACTGAATTTAATGTTTTTGTAAGAAAACCTTAATGAACCATTAGGTTTATATTCGTGTTCAATATTTTCTTGAAATTTAGATTGTTTTCCATCAGAGAGATAAGCTTGGACTTGTTTGAAAATCTTTAGAGGGAGTTTCATTGAAGTCAATGGACCATAAGCTTGAGTTTCTCCTGCCATCAAAGTTTTTATTTCAACCATGAATTGCCATTTTTGCCCAGCTGAGATCTTGGCAAATAACACTAATGTATATTCAATATCATTAATTAATTTCGAATAACTTGATAGATAAACGTTCATTTTGTTTTTGAATATTTACTAGCAAAGGTCTTTATATAATGTATACTTGAATTGGGGGTTTCCAAATATTTGATAATAGTCTTAACTGATCCGGCGTATCAGCCTTCAGATCTATAAATAGATAAGAAAAAGGTTTTTGGGTCGCATTTTCGAATATCTGTGTCAATGCTTTTACTTTGTTAGGGTACATTTGCCTCGCAATATTACTAATAATTGATTTATCACGTGGATTTTTAAATAGGACGAGATAATGAGAGTTTAATGTGATGTTACGCATTTCATTACCTTTAACGAAAAAGTTTTGAACTAATAATATTACTGAAATATTTCGATGATGAGAGCCTTTCGTAAATAATTCGCTAATTACCTGACTTTTAGATGATTCATGCATGAGATCGTCAATAATTATCCATATCGGATCATTTTCAGGGTTAATATTGTTTATAAGGTCATTTGATAAACCTTTTATGAAAGTTACACCAACAAAACTTGCAAATGAAGGTTGGTATTCACCGTATAAATAATAAATGTGTTTAGGTGAGGGGTGTGAAGCGAAAAGTGCTTCTTTAATCAATTTTTGTACCCAAAAAGTTTTTCCAGAACCAGTTGGACCACTTATCGTCATGGTAAATGGATGTTTCAAGTAAAAAGTGTACATATTTGCTCACTCGACTCCCTTTTTTCTTTATATAAAAAGGGTTTGGATTCTGAGAATTTCGTCAGTGCTCATCATGAGTAGTTCAGATTGGAAAACTTTTACTATCGTTGATGATATAGTTGCTTTTAGTTTGTGCTTCAATCAAAGTGTTAAACGTATTGATATAAGATTGAAAAGACAAGGGAAATTCACGAAATACGGTGTTTCTCTCACTCCTTCTGAAGTTGATCATTGTGTTAAGTTTATCACTGGTAAAGAACAACCCCGAATTTTATCATCTATCAATTGAAAAGCTGCTGGAGCGAACTTTTGGTTGAAGAAAGGACACAAGTCCTGACAACTTCATCGTTTTGGAAAAGGTTTCTCCTTTTATTCTGCTGCAAAATATCTCTGTGGAGATTTAAAAGAGAAGGATCAACTGTTTGATTTGTTTATTGTGTCCAAAAGTACTGATAAAAACGATTTATTGGAAAAAAAGTGGGCTATATCTACTAATCCAAAAGATTGTGAAAATATATTGGAAATCTTGGGTATTCAAGATAATTCGGGTATTCGTCCTATCGATTTTGAAGCTCTCAACAAATTTGCTGACGAAAAACCTGAAGTTTTTACGTCTATGGTAAACTTGTTCTACGTAAACCGATAGATTATATAAAGCTGATCATTATCCAAATATATAATCATGGATATATTTTGTGCATACTTTGATGTTCAGGGATTTTATATTAATGGTCTCTTTCATCCTGCAGAGGTATGTATGATAACCAAAAAAGATATTTATCATGTAAAAGTTAAAAAATCTTGTAATTGTAACCCTACTAAACAAGAACAAAAAAATATAACTTATTTAACCAAGTATCATCATGGATTGGAAATTACGGAGGAAGGAATTCACTTCAAAAGACTTAGATGGGATCTTAAAAAGATCTACAATCGAGTATTGGCTGAACCATCGATTTATATTGCTTGTAAATCAAAAGAAGCTGCCGACTTGTTGGACTTTTATTCATTACCCAATCTGAATTTAAATGATTTCAATGTAAATCATGTTGATATTGACACTGGACGTCGTCCTTGTCGATTCCATGATCAATCTAAACAATTTAAATGTTCATATAACATTGTTAAAGATTTAAAAAGACATGTTAGAAATATGTGTTAAACTCTGATTATAATCTTAATAATAAACGTTTTTTTAATATAAAACATTAAATGTATTACATACAATTATTCATATTTGATCAATATACAATAGATTATAACTGAAACTTGGATAGATTTAGTGAAAGTAATGTATTGCTATCTCGGTACAGTGCGCATTTATGGTTTTACAGGAATTCTGCTTAACCTATAGATTTTGTGCAGCTTTTAATATATGCATTTAACATAACTTTTAAAGAGCTTTCGATTGATATATTGCACGACAAGATCGGTTGAATAGTTTCTGAGATACAGAAAGTTCGTAAATTCGAAATTTTCGAAGTCATTTTTCTCATAGAAGGAGACATTTTTCGAAAAAAATTTCCATTGACCTACTCGTCTTGAGCGAAGCTCAAGAGAAGTAGGTGAATTGTTAAGAAAATTTCGAACTTTCGAAAAAGCACCACATGTAATTTTTAACATTGAGTGTATGGGATACGTTTAATCACCGTTGACACGTCTTCTCAAGGTATTAATAAACTCGTAATAGAAATTTTCGAGGGTTGACATTGACTTTGAACCAACAATATTGAATTTTCGAGATGAGAAGAAAATCGCCACTTGTTTACCCACTCGAAACATTATTCCAGGAAAAAGTTCAGGTTCCCATGTGAACTCAGGATATTGAATTATTTTATTGAGATTAATTGGAAAATCTATTGTTCCTGAAGCAACAATATTGACTATTTTTGATTTAACAATTGAGTAATTAGGTAACACATTAATTAATACATTAGTTGCTTCATCTAATGATTTCGCGCCTACGACATTGACTTTATTAGAACGATAGATTAGGACTTTAACTTTTCCACAGTTTAATATATTACCACTAAAATAATAAGGATCATAATTAGGAAAATCGTTTGGTTCCAACCTTGAGTTAACTTCGAAACAAATAGTCATATTAACTATTCGATACATCTTTAATTGATTAATTAATTAATCAATCTTATATAGCAATGCAGATGATTAAGACATTGATGATTATATTCGTCATTGACCAAATTAACAAATTAATTAAGAAATTGTCGAAAATGGACTTAATAATCAATCATCAATTGACAATTGGTCAGTTGTCAGTTATTCGTATTTAATTAAAGTTAAAAAAGTTTTAATCAACTTTAGAAAGTTTAATTATGCCTAAGTGGTTAAAACGATCTGCTAAAAAACAACGACTATTGAAAAAATCGTATGAAATCACTGCAAAAGAACAACAACTATTTGAAAAATATAAATGTAAAGAGCTTAGTGTTGTTTTAACCCCCTTGGAATATATTCCACCATTAAAACGGATTAATGTGACCGAAGGAGTTGTGAAAAATCCATTTTTCATCGGTGAACAATCATCAAAGGAGATTCAAAAGATCATCGAGGAATTGAATGTGCTTCAATCCGAAGAAATACGTGAATATAATGATGATTTTGTGTTTACTTGATGAATGTTCGGTCACCGTTGAGGAAATTTTCCCCATTGATGATGGATTCATTGATTTTGTTTTAAAAAATGATCTAAAACCAGTACATGATTTCAATGAAATCATGACTGATGATTTGTTCAAATTATAAATAAAATATTTGGAAAATTTGATCATTTTAAGATATACATTTTTATTTTCGTTTCGGAAAATCAAGTTGAAAAAGTAAGAGAAAAAGAAAGAGTAAATTTGTGTGCCAGAGGTGGCATAATATCACTACTACCTTATTCCGTACACCCACAATTCCACCAAGTTGTCAGAAAATATCATGAGAATTTCAGAATTTGAGGTTATATTGTTTTGTTTCCATTCTAAACTGGAAGACAATTTCTTTCAGTGTCAGTATAAGATTCATTTATCATTCAGATTTCCATTCCTGTAATAATAATATCATCATCATCTTCATCATGATAATGAGAAAGTTATTCTGACAGAGAAAAGATTTGGCTTGTTATTTCATCTTTCTCTGTCTGATTGATTGTTTTTCGGCACAATTTTTACTCTTTTCCAGTTTCGACTGTTTCTGATTATCAACATGATCCTAAACTCTGTCAACATCATGTAAACATCATTAATTCAATTCTGATTCACTATCATCATGTTATCGTTGTTGTAGCAACAGCAGGACAATAACAAATCATATCAAGAAAAACCTCCAACACTCCCAGTCAACTGACCAGACTAGATGATGATATTTTCCAATCATCCACTAATGGAAACATAATCATCTGATCATCAGATTGTTTCATCATTTGAATTAAATTCATCCTGAAACATAATTGGAAGGATTGATTTTCGGTAGAAAGAAAATCTATCATGGAAAAGAAATTTTCTTTCTCTATTGATGTCAGAGGTTTCATGGAGAAAATTCCAAAAGTTCAGTTCGAAAAGTTGAGAATCTTAAAAATCATTGAGAGAAAAAAAAGAGAAAAATACTATTTATACTTGGAAGTTTTTTTTATTTCTTTTCTTCAGAATTTCCGATAAAAGTTCTTAACATAAACATGAGAATCAAACACAAATTGACATGATAGAGAAGTGGAAGCAACAATTGAACTGGAATCAGAATTTACTCTTTTTCCTCCAACCTTTTCATTCCTAACGATTGACCATGAATGTTTACCTTTCATCCACCACCCATAGATAAATATGAATAGAGAAAGAGAGAGAGAGAGAAAAGTTCAGTGAAAAAGTTCAGGTTTCAAGTTGAAAAGTGAAATAATTTCAATCGGAACGTTATGTTAACTTGTTATGAGATTTTCATCTTATCATCATCTTCATGTTACATATTAATAGTTTATCAGAATTTGCCTTTGAAAAAATCTCCCCAATCTCTTGATAAAATATATTTATAAGAAATCTGCATGTTGATTCATGATAATGAATGATAACTGAGTAATAACTTACCAGGTAAACATGATTGTTTATCTTTATCCATGATAATATTATAAAATAATAATATAAGAGTCAATATTTGTTATCATTGTAATAATAATAATGAAGATAATCACTAATGATAATCCTTAAAGATTTGATATCCTTTGAGGATTTGATGATATCTTTAGATTAACAATCAATGGAACAATAAATCAAGTTGAATTGGTTAAAGTTAATTGTTAACAATCAATAAATCAAATGTTACTCATTAAATTAAACGACAATCAAGTTGACATATCAAAAGTTAAGTGTCAACAGTTGAGGTTGACTAACCTTTCATTGGTCAAACTTGTTTCATCACACCAACCATGAAGATGGTCAAACATTGAGAGATTGATTAACATTACAAAGAGAGAAAGAAATTTTTGTTTTTTTTTCTTATGAACAATTCTGATAGATAATTCTGGCTTCATGATGATGATTATAATGACATATTATATCGTATGAATGATAAGACACCTTATTAGTATCAGAAGCAAAGTCAACATGAGGCGAGGAAAAAAAAAACAATACTGATAATCAGGTGATGAAAGTGACAGAAAGGTGATCATTGAAGCTTATTCAGTTGATATGAATTATCGATTGAATTACTCAGGAATATCATGGTAATAGATTGATAGATGATAATTGAAAAGAAGTGGAGAGGGAATAATAATATCATTGTTATAAGTCAATATTAGGAAGATGATTAAGAAGATAAGATGAGAGAGAAGGAGAAAATTTTATCCTGAGAATTATTAGTGAAAATGATGAAAGAATCAATATTTTTTTCTTATTCTCTTTTTTTTTCCTGAGAAAAAAGTTCCATTCAAAGGTTCGAGGTTTTTGAACATTTATCACACTTTTTTTTTCTTCGAACAAAATTCAAATGCTGAAAATCTTTCACTCATTTCGTCTGGTAATTTCGATTCGTCATAAAGATTAATGTTAGTTTCTTATCAGAATTTTCAATCCACAATCATGATCACCAGGGAATCGTTTGTATTTATTATTACAGAGAACTGATAATAATACTCTACGAAATATTGAATATTAAGTTTTCCCTCTTATCCTTATCACCTCATTGGATTTAACGGAAAGTGAGATGTGATTTGATCCTCGAAACCTGAATAATCTGAACTTCTCAATATTGAATCAAGTTTAACATGATAGAAACTGTGATTTTATTCCTACTTTTTTTTTGAAATCCATCAACTGATGCTGAGCATTTGAAATGAAGCCAATTTAATATTTACAGTTAAGTACATGGAAATGTGAACATAAAAAAGTGGATCAACAAAAATGTTCAGCTCATTCATGGTAATCATCATGTGTATACACAAATACACAAGAAAATTGATAAAATTCAGTGGGAACATATTATCAGGTAAATCTATTAATAATATTTTCACTTTCACAACCTTCATCTATTCAAAATATTATTTCAATCATCACGATTGATAGTGATCACAATTAACACATTGTTTGGATTCATTATCAACGAAATCATCATTATTATTATTCATAATCTAATATCGCAATCGAGACACAATTAGATATACAATTAAATTCATGATTCAATTCTGATTCCCCTTGATTATGTATCAGTTTCAATGCTCAGATGTTACATGTAAATTTAGATTCCTAATATATGATGATGATGATGATAATCATCACCATGATTAGTATTCATATGTTACTATTAATACTGTCAACGGATGAGCAATTTAATTTAATAAGTAGTAGTGGAAATCCAATTATCATGATTTAATATCATGGATTCAACAGATTCATTTAAATTACAAACTGATACAACAAAACATTGACAGTGATTATTGATGATTAAGTTAATTGCAAATTTCAGGCTTCCAAAAGTTTATCACACACACACACAAGTTAGTTGACAATTTATAAATTACTTGAAAGTGAAAACAAGACTAATCTGTAGTTAGTTAATCACTAATCCTGTTGGAGAAATTAAATCCGCTCATTAATCATGTGAACTTTTTTTTTCTAACCCAAATGGTTAATCAAGAAATTGTCAACTTTTGATGTTAAAACTTTTCGATTTATATCAAATCGAAATGTACAATCAAATGGTAATTAATTATGATTAATCTGTTAATCATGATGATGTTATGATAATAATAACGGGTTGGAGTTAATTGTATGGCTGTTGTATCATTAACTTTTCTTTCCCAATGTAATATAATCTCAATGTTGTATTTAACTTTTTTTTCTGTTGGTAGTTAAGTTAATTCAGTTTGTAACCAAGAAAATTAATCGTCTAAATGAAATCATCATGATAACAGTTAAAGTTGATGATGATGATGATTTAGATAATGATGATAATGTTTTGTAATAATAAAAAGTAATCTTAATATTAAAGATACGAGAAAACTGTTGAAAGTTAATGGATTAACCATGAAAATAATATCAACTTTGTAAATATAATCACTAATCATAATGATAACTGTTTAATATATTAACCATATTTAATGTGATAACACTTAACTAATTGTAAATCAACCAGGATAATTTAAATTACCAACCTGATTTCAACCTTAAATTGCTTTCAAGTTCATCATAATCTCAATGTTAATCATTCATTATCAATAAGACGATGATAATAAATGATTTTTGAATTGCAATCAGTTTAATATTATCGTTGTTTCATTTCAAGGGTAACAATTAATTGTCACAATCTGATTGGGTAAACGTTGATTATGTAATTAAAACAATATGATTAAACTTTTAATTTCCTGTTAATCATGATTAGTTTGTTGGTGTCGAAATTGTTATTAGGTTAAAAGTTCTAACGCTTTAATTAACGATAACAGTTGAGTTCGGTGATTGATCATTTTCAGGATGGAAAAAAAGTTCGAATTAACAAAAATCGAACTTTTTTCTTTCGTCTCTCTCTCTCTTTCTCTTTCTCTCTCTGAAGATTGTCAGGTTAATTTAATTTAATCAGATGAACATCATCATTATCATTTAATTATATTTGGTTCTTTCTTTTTCTCTGTCGAC